CAAGGCCCAGCTCCGAACCACTCGAATGGCTATGGCAACGAGAAGCCCATGTTCGACCAGGCTTTCAAGCTCGAGCGCCCGAAATGGAACGATCTCTGGGCCGGTATTCTCGTGGGTCACACATGTCCCGCATGATCTAGACCCGCTGCTGACCTTTTCTTCCTCCAGTTCCTGACTGTCTGCGCTGGTTATGTTGCCGTATCTGGACTCTCTATTCATGGCTACGGTTCGTGTGATAGCTCCTTTAGGACAATCGTCCTTCTCCATCAGCTAACTAGTTGCAGCCTCAACGAAAAGCTTCCAGGGAGGTGGAATCTATGACTCCGGTTCGCACGTCGGGCTTAATACGAATACTCTTATTCTATTTGCGTTCTGCCTCTGTGTTGCTATTGTCTTCAGCTATGCCTACGTGCTGGTGGCACGTCAGTTTCCGAAGCAGTTTATCTGGATAACGTAAGTTATATGCAGTCCTCGCGTCGAGGACAAGATACTGACTGTTGTTACAATAGCGGAATTCTAAATATCGTATTCGGGCTCGTCACAGCAATTTACATGCTCTCACGCCGCTACTACTCTGGTGGGATCGTGTACTTGATCTTCGTGGTCTTCCTCATGTTCGCGTTCTATGTGAGTTCACCTGGCCTCCTGAATGCTCTGAAATCGCTTTAGCTGACTGGCTTATCAGACTTGGATTCCGCGTATCCCATTCAGTGCCTTCATGCTCAAGACGGCTGTCGACGTTTCCAAGACCTACGGTCATGTATATCTGGTCAGTGCGCTTGGTGGACTCTGTGCGACTGCTCTCGCAGCATGGTACTCGGTTACTTTAGTAGCTGTGTATGCGAAATACTCTCCAGGGCAAAACCCGGCCTGTGCAGAAGGAGGCGGCGGTTGCAGCACCGCCAAGGTCACCGGTCTAATCGTGTTCATTACGTTCGCGATGTACTGGATTTCGGAGTGGCTGAAGAATACCATCCATACCACCATTTCTGGAGTGTACGGGTCTTGGTATTTTCATCCGCATAACCTTCCCAGGGAAGCTACTCGAGGCAGTCTCCGAAGGTCCCTTACATATAGCTTCGGCTCCATATCCCTTGGCTCCCTGCTCGTGGCCATCATCAATTTCCTAAGACAGCTATGCTCTGTCGCTCAGCAAAGTGAGGCGGCGCAAGGCAACATACTTGGAAGCATCATGTTCTGCGTTCTAGGATGCTTCATTGGGCTCCTGGACTGGGCCGTGCAGTTCCTCAACCGTTATGCTTTCTCATACATCGCGCTCTATGGCAAGCCTTACTTCGCTGCAGCTAAGGATACGTGGAACATGATCAAGCAGCGTGGTATAGATGCGCTCATCAACGAATGCCTCATCGGACCAGTCCTGTCTATGGGAGCCACATTCGTGGGCTATGCCACGAGCTTGCTAGCTTACTTATATCTTGTAAGCACTCCTTCGTGACGATAACCCAGGGACATGACATAAAATGGCTTACTCACACCACATGGCAGGTATTCACCCATCCATCATACAACTCGGATGGCTCCTACACACCTGGTAAGCTCCCCTGTTCTGAGAACACCAACAGTATTTAGTCATGAAATTGACGTGCAGGTCATGTTTTCGACAAGTCGAATTGCTAACTTTGGACAAAATAGTTGTGGTAGCTTTCGCGTTCCTTATCGGTCTACAGATCTGCAACATCTTCACGACGCCGATAAGCAGCGGAATCGATACGATTTTTGTTGCAACGGCGTGGGAGCCGCAGGCATTGATGCAGAACCATCCAGACTTGTACGATGCCATGGTAAGAGTCTACCCAAATGTCCAGGTAGCCATCCATGCTTGAGCAGTTCAAAGGTTTTTGATTAGGGGGGTAGCCAAGGGCAAAATCGAGCTTGTGTGTTGCTTGGCAGGACTGGTATGATTCTTGATTCATAGTCTCTAGTAACTTGGTCATGGTGCCCCAATAGGTCACATTCGTGATCAGGGCTCATTAGCAGTGGAGAGACGGGCAAGCTTCAGACTTCGATAGGAATAATTGATACCTATTATTGTAAGATTCCCTGCAGGCTTGTCGGTGGCATTGTGAGAGAGAGTACCATCGTCGAGATAAGTATCTGTAAGTCTGTAGTTCGTCACGGCGCGACTGCGCGTGATTAAAATAGGAATCCTTTGTTCGGTGGTCTAGCTCTAGGTATTTCTGATTTCATACTAATCCAGGCCTCCTCATCACGCTAGTAGGGCGGTATTAATGGATACTTATTGACACGGACCAACTTCAGTTTAAAAGGTCATAAATCCTTGCTCTTAGGTAAGGTATTTAAGAGCAGGCAACGATGGCTGCCTCGAGCAGCTCAAGATACAGCTATGAAACTCTAAGGTTTCCGAACAATGATATTGGTACAGAAGAGTGTGCAACTGGCAGTCCACTCAACATTACGACAAAGTATTTTCTTCCTTCCAGGTCGTATCACGGAAAGACGCGTCATGTCTGACAGCAACCCATTCTCTACCCTGCTTAACCAGCAGACATTGACTGCGAGACTGGCTATTCTGAAGCCGGCTGATAGTCCCGATGCGCCTATCGAGATAGGCCTCACGGATGCGGCTCTGAAAGATACCTCGTACGAGTGCATCTCATACGATCGCTCATCAAGGTCCTCCACCGCCGACGAGACAGTCACAGTCTCTGTCAACGGCGAAGACCTGGCAATTCCCAAAGCGCTCGAGAGCGCCCTACGCACGCTGCGTCGCAAGGAACGGCCGCGCACACTATGGGCTGACCTGCTTGTGGGACGCACCGTCGAGGAACGCAGCGCGCAGGCGGGTGTGCTTCGATATGTTTTAGAAAACGCAGAACGCACGCTATGCTGGCTTGGCCCGGGCAAGGGAGAGATCACGACCAAAGCCTTCGAAACAATCTCCGAGATGGCGCGCCGGTTTGAAGAAGCGTGTCAGCAGGTCGGTATCAAGCCTGACACGAGTCTAACCCGCGCTACGATGCAGCAAATCATCGGGTTGCGCGAGAAGCTCCTCGACTGCCCCCACGACGACTTGAACTCGTTCGATTTTGCGCACTGGCGCGAGATCTACAGCGTTTTTGGCGCGTCGTACTGGCGTTCTGTGCAGTGTATTTCTGAGATCGTGCTCGCAAAGGCGCTTATCGTAGTATGCGGCCGGGGCAATATCAGGTGGCACTCGTACATAGCATCGTCGCGCGCCATGCCCTTATACCAGGCCCAGTTCTTCAAGGTACCGCTGCTCCCGAGCGTCATGAAAGGCTTTGAGATCGCCAACTCGATCGAGATTGCAGAGCGCAGGAGAAGGCTTGGCGAATCTATCGAACTACTGCCAATGATTCAGACCGCACGAGAGTGCGGCGCCGCGGACCCTAGAGAGAATGTGTTCTCGATGCTACCTATCACGACGCCATCCGCGCGCATCCATTTCCATAACGCCGGCCCGCAGCCTCTGCCGATCATTGATTACTCCAAGACCCCGCAGCAGGTTTTCGCGGAGGCCGCCAAATATTCTATTTTAGAGCGTCAAGACTTGATGTTGTGGTACAACGAACGTCCACCCCGCGCAAAGCGCATCAAGGGGCTTCCGAGCTGGGTCCCCGACTTCAGCGCCCTGCCGCCCAAAAATAACGGCAGCTTCAACCCGAATGGCGGCATGCGGGCCTGGTGGGACAACATCCAGCCCGCCTCTGCCAAGAAGCTGATCACCGTATCCTCTCCGTCGGACGGCAAGCCGGCGCTGCATCTGCAAGCCCAAGCGCTAGACCGGATCGTGCACGTCTCGCCCATCTTCGACGCCGGCAACGCGCGGCGCCTCTGCTTCACCGAGTTCCAGAAGCTTGTCCAAGAGATGCCCACCTCCACCTCCGGGACGAGTACCAACACCAGTATCAACGAAACCATCGAGCAGCGCAACGAGCGCTTCTGGCGAACGCTGATCCTCAACGCGGGCGGGGACCGAGCAGCGTCGAATACGCTGCGCGACAACGCCCCGCCGCCCGCCGAGTTCCACCTCTGCTTCGAGAGCCTGCTGGCCGAGGAGACGATCCTGGGCGCGCTCGGCTGTACGCCGAACGAGCTGCAGACGCCGGAGAACCGTGCACGCTTGGTGGCCAGCGCCGAGCTCAGCGCGCTTGTGCCGCGATGCGGCAGGGCGCTGCCGTTCGAGGAGCTGCTCACTAAACACGCGGCCGGGCGCCGGTTCTTCCGCACCCTGGGCGGCCGGTTTGGCATGGGGCCTGTCGAGGACGTGGTAGCTGCCGACGGCACCCAAATTGGCGAGGACAACGAGCTGGGGGGTGGGGACAGGGCTGGGGAGACGGCGGCGGCGAGGAGACCGAATTTGGGGCGTTTGATGAACGACCCCCTTGCGCGCAACATGCTGGAGAGCTTCCAGGTGTACCTCAACGAGCGGGATCCGAATGCTGCACGCGCCGCTGCGCAGATCATACGCGGTGGTATCCCCGGGCTGCCTGAGGAAGATAGCGATGGGGCCTTGCGGGAGGGCGATCTGGTTGTGGCGTGCGTGGGCGGGTTCTTCCCGTATGCGCTACGGCCTCTTCCTCAGGCTCAGGTCCAACAGCCCGAAGCTGAGGAAAGGAGAGCTGAAGAACATGGAGGCTCCAGCTCTGCAACGGAGAGCTTGGATGACTCATCTACTTATGAGTTCCTGGGCGAGTGCTACCTACACAGGGCGATGGACGGCGAGGACTTCCAGGCCAGGGGCTTCCTTGGACGGAAGTATGTCAAGATCGATAACTCGAAACTCGTGGATATTACGATTGTATGAAAGGAACGAATTTGACGGCACTGTCAGCCTTGCCTAACAATTTCTAGGATGAAATGATATCAGACGGGATCCAAGCAGAATGAATGACAGGATGTAGGTTCAAATAGAACCAAACGTGGAAGGTTCTCATCAACTCAAAACAGGGTACCACAGTATATACTAGACAACAACACTTGCTTGCAGTATAATCCAAGCCCGCCTAGCTCAATGGTTAGAGCGTGGGACTTTTACCTGTGCCTTGTTGCAAGGCAAGCGAAAATCCCAAGGCTGCGAGTTCGAGTCTCGCGGTGGGCGAGATTACCTTTTGAAATCGTTGATTAAGAATGTGTGGCTTTGAAGCCAACCGAACACTTTTTTTTCGGCTTCAACTTATCAACGCTCCATGTTATGGAGATGCTTACATGTTAGTTACTGCACCCGGGTATGAAGGTAGGTACTAGATCAGGCATTAAGTTTGCCAGACCTAACAGTCGTTGGTGAAGACATGCACCCTACGACATAGAAGACCGTCAAGCTAGGCCCCGTCCAGTCCCCTTCCGACCATATAAGGTAACAGATGCCGTTATTGAGTACTTGCGAGCCCTCGACGTAGGTAGTTCTCAGGGATAGTATCCTTGAACTGTATGCCGTCCTCCAAGGTACCGATGGAGATCATGTCGTCGTTCAGCTTAGCTACGTTGGCGTGCGAGTGAGTGGCCACCGTAATAGATTGTATATCTAGGTACCTACCCGTCAACATCATCTATAAACACATCTCATCCCAGTAGATCTCCCCGCGCGTCGTTGTGATGGGCAGTCCCTACTCAGCGGCTTGCCCAGGGCATCGACATACGGCCCCTCCGACTTGTCGGCGATACTCACCCCTGGACAGCGCGCACCTTTCGCAGAGACATGTAAACCTAACCTACCTTAGTCTAGTATCTACTCGCACCGCACCCGCCGTCTACCGACGCCCCGCCGCCTCTCATACAATAGCCTCGCCAGCAGGCGCAGTGCAGTACCTTGACCATTGCAAACGACACCCAAAGCGTAACTATCGCGCTGCCAATCTCTAATCTACAGTGCGCAAATCTTCACCCAAGCATCTGTACCAGCAGGAGTAATTTGGCGGCAAGACTTCCACCGCCTCAGATTTGCGCTTGCAATGTCGTAGACTCCAAACCGGCACGCTGATCCAGCCATAGCCACGGCCGACGCGCGGGCCCCGGCTCTGGAGAAGCAGTTTGCAGAAGGCGTAGAAAAGTCTGGTTTGTCGGCTCGAATAGGGCGTTTCCCTGACAAGAGCCTGTGTTTGAAGTGCCAATCCGAGTGTGTGGTAGACTTGTTGGACGGCAACTGGCGTGTTATTGGGACGGCCGGTGTGCTCTATCCCTTACCCTTTTTGATGAGGTCGGTGTCCTATGATTCTGGCTAACATGTGGGCTGATGATCCGGATGACTTGGAACCTCGTTATCCAGCCTTTTTCAGTCTGGTGCGTCTTATGGAGGCACTAGTGTCATACAACATTTGCTTCAAATATCTCAGATGGGACATGACACGAAGACCAAAAGGAAAGTATTTCAAAATCATAAACAGCGCAGGAGCCGCGTGAATTTGTATGTAAAGCAAACCCAGCATTGGCAGATGTTGTGGTAGTCCTAAGCACAAAGAACTCAAGTACACGCGCCAAATCGAAGGCATTGCAGCCAGCTCTTCTCTTTTCCTTCCCTCTTCGAGTCCAACACAAGTCCAAGTCCAGGTCCAATAAAGTGTATGTATGTATATCTTCTTCCTTGACCGTTATGATAGGTATCGGCCAGTAAAGACAGTTGAGCCGCCCTCCACTGCCTAGGTATCGTAGTGGTTTTTGTGATGCTCGAAGACGCCGTAGAACTCCGTAACAGTATTGCAATATCGATAGAAGCGGGATCAGAGTACAAACGGCAAGACTAGGTCAACTCGATCAAGCACCTCCTCTTCTTTTTCTTTATCATTGTGGCCTGCTTCACAATGATGTCCATATCCTACTACCAAGCATACTTGTACGTAACGCCCTACTTCTTTTCCTCAAAGTAGAACTTGCCTAGCTTATCGCCGTCCTGGGAGCTACCCAAGACTGGAGCACGACCACCTTCACCACCGTCGAGACGCTCTCGCACGATGCGCTCAGCTGCCTCTCGCGTCGCGGGTCCACCCACCCCCTCTCTAAGGGCACTTGTACGCGGTTGGCCGGGATGGACAGGGACAGGGCCGCGGGTGGTGGTATCAACGAATACATCGTCATCCGAGGTACCCACGTGGCCACCGCCATCGACCGCAACCCCATCAACATATTTCGCCTGTCGTGTCTCTGCGGCCGCCGATGCGCTGATGGGGGTATCGCTTCCGACATCTCGCATCTCCCGGCTGCGTATCATGGCCTCCTGACTCAGGCCAGAGCTGCTGCGCTCGAGGCCCCAGACGCCCGTTGCGCCGCTAGTGCCGGGGAGGGGTCTGCGATGGTAGATCGGGCCACTTACGGTGCTATTGGCGCCCTCGCCAAAACCGACAAGGCTGGCGGTGCCGTCGTCGCTCATGCGGTCCTCGAAGCCACCGAAGGAACGGCTGGCTACGTCTTCATCCATTGGGTCGATGGCACCCGAGGTAGAATCAAGGTCCATGGTGCGATAGTTAGTATCCATACTCATACCATCATCTACCTCGGTAAGGTCGGCGTCCATCTCAAATTGCTCGCCAGCCTCAGCGGTGGTTCGCGCGCCGACACTTCCTGTGGCGGAGGCCGTGCCTACGGTGCTCATCTTGTTATTGGCGGTCGGCTGACCGTTGGAGTCAAAGTAGGCGGGGGCCAAAGCATTAGCTTGCTGAGCGGTGGACGTGGGTGTGGTGAGGGGTGAGTTCGCATTGCTACCATGCTGCTGCTGGTTCGGAGCACGGAGAGTGGATACACGCTCGAGGCCGGCCAGGCGACTGATACGATCCGCACGCTCTGCCTCGAGACTATTGATTGAGGAGTGGTGTTGATGCCCTCGGGGACCTCCGAAACCATGGTAGCTCTGACCTCGGTGGCCATCCTTGATAGCAGTGGTAGAGAGGGCGGAGAGGGAGGTGGTAGTGCTGGTAGGAGTGCCACTATTGAGTTACATCCCATTGGTTAGTGTTTTCAATGCAAAATGGACAAGCAATAGGAGGGCTAGGCGGTTGGGTTATACGTACGGCATGTCACTTGGAGTCTCCGGATTGGATTGTGGGGGAGGGAGGTTAATGAGCATCGGTGCTGTCGGTTGTTGCGACATATTTGCTAGCTAAGCTAGGTAGGTACCTAGCTTAATGGTTGAATAGATAATTTTTGAGCGGATGTCTTGCGGATGGTAGTTTCGCGTGTTTCACGCGTCTAGGTTGGCCGAAGTTCACGACGTGTGTAAGAAGGATGACGAATGCAAAACAAGATGGACAGATGGTGGAAACACGGGTAGGGCGCTGGTGGTGGGGGAGGAATTGACAAGACGAGCAATCGAGAAAATAGGTACGAAGTAGGTAGGTTGTTTTTGGTCACGGCGCAAAAGAAACCAAGTCGCCTCCCTGACTCGCGTGCCGGCGAATTCTAGAGTTCACCAACTGAACAAGCGTTATCGATGAAGATCTTTGTTGACAAAGGGCTGAAAGGGAAAGAAGAATAGTATTAGATGGTATTTTAGATGATGAAGAAGACTTCAAGTGGTTTCTGTAATTGCGTTGCGTGTTTGCTTCGTTAGAGGTACCTAGGTACATACATACAGTGCTCAATGCTTAGGAACATATTAGGTGCAGGTGAGGTGGGGGACTCGGATGACGTAGGGCTGCAATTAATTCTAATTGGCTCTAGCGCCGATTCAAACCCACTCTTCAGTGATTGACTTAGGTATGTATGTACGTACCTGTGCTTGGGTCTAGATGCGAATGAGGGCTCGGCGTTGGACTGACTGGTTTGACAAGGTTGGCAGGTAATGAAGGGCTGAAGAGGCACATAGAAGTAATCGCATACTTATAAATTATCATCTGCCATTATGGATGTTATATTTGAATGATTTTGTTGTTGATTTTCATGATTGCGACTTGAATTAAAAAACTCCACACGTTGTCCAAAACAGGTCAATCATACGACGTCATTGCCTTTTCCTCCCCCTCAGTCCCAAGGCAGCTGATGATGACCCTCAAAAGACCCCAGGGGTAAAGTCGACGACTTGAATTCTGTCGAGTATGTCTTTGACGCTTGCAATGAACCCGAGGTGAGTTGGATCCTTCTCGAGATAATACTTCCTGTCATCCTCGTTCTCAAACTCCATGATGAAACCGTGCGTTATTCCGTTCTATCATGGCCGTGTTAGCATACTAGTCAGCAAACATTGACATGATCTCAATGGCCGAAGCCTGTAATGAGCGCTAACCTGAAGGCCTTCAGGACTATTGTCTTTTCCTCCCCCGATTACTTTCACATACGTCTTCTGGGTTGTAGGATGGATGCAATCGGATCCTAGACTAATCAATCGGCTGCAAGCCTGTGCTGCTCATTAGCCGTTGATATCGTCAATCACATAAACTGTAGATCACTTACACCCTGGACCTCATCAGACGGCACGAGGTCTTTGAATCTGAGCAATACGATGTGGTGGATGCCCATGGTGAAAGTACTTCAAAGTGTTATAACTATGTATACACCGACAAGGTAAGCATAGAATTGTGAACTGTGTTTTCCTTCGAAGAATTAATGTTTGCTTGTCACAGTCAAATGATCAGTGATGGGCTGATTGACGTTGACTTATACCCCGTCAATCAGCCTAGCTACTCCGCATTCTTCAAACAAATCATTCGTTGGCTTTACGAACCTTTCCGAGTCTTTACGAACATACCTACTGTAGATAGCTTATGCGCATCAATCATTGCAGACGAAGAGAACCTAAGAAATTGTATGCTGATTGCTACATATTATTAATTACATCAGATCAAATGGTGCTATTTCCTTTAGAGGCAACTAAGCACTGCTTTTGTAATTGTCCGTGTGGCAGGCGTTGGCACGGCTTGCCAGCTCGTGCCGGCTACGCCTATCTGTCCGAGATTCTGCCGCAGGTGGCAACAAGGTTCTTAAATCCGCACTTTAGAGCCCAGCCATTTCCCCTCCACTTGATAATAATCCCCGATCGTTACGAAGTACTTAACATGCCATCACCTTCTATCCAAAAGAGGCAAAATGCGGAGAACTGATGTTTCCGAGGACGAAGAGCTAGGGGAGTTGGAAGATCAAACCGAAGCCCTCACAATCCGCTCGAAGCGGACTGAA